AGACAGCCACACAAAGAAAGATGAGAGAGAGAAAAGGAAAAAGACAATCAGACAGGAAGACAAAGGAAGAAAGAGAGAGAGAGAGTCAGAGAGAGAAAGAAAAAGAAAGAGAAAGAGAGATAGAGATAGAGAGAGAGAGAGAGAGAGAGAGAGAACGATAAACAGACCGACAGACACGAAGTCAGTGGCTCGCTCAGCCAGTCACGTGACTTCTACGAAGTTCAGGGTCATCGCGAAGGAACTGAACCCACTCTGCATGTCTGCTTCTTTTTCTTCCTCTTCTTCTTCTTCTCTTTTCGTTCTTCTTCTCTACTTTTTCTCCTTTTCTTTTTTTTCCTTCTTTTTCTTCTTCTTTCTACTTTTTCGTTCTTCTTCTACTTTTTCTATTACCTTTCCTCGTTTGGTCATTTCCTCTCCCTCCTTCTTTCTTCTTCCTCTTCCTCTTTCCTTCTTATATTTTTCCCATTTTTTTTTCTTCTTCTCCCACATCGTCTGATATAGGTTGGAAAGCCTGTTGCTTCAATTCTTCTCTTATTATTACCATTGTTATTTTTCCCTTTCCTTCTTCTTTTTCGTGTTCTTTTTCCTCCTCCTCTTATTCTTATTCTTATTCTTCTTTATCTTCTTCATCTTCTGATTCTTCTTCTTTATCTTCTTTTTTTCTTTTTCTTCTTCTCCCCCCCTCCTCTTCCTCCTTTTCTTCTTCTCCTCCTCCTCATTATTATTATCATTATTATTATTATTATTATTATTATTATTATTATTATTATTATTATTATCAGTTATTATCATTCTCCTTCTCCTTCGTCTTCTTCTTCCTCTTCCTCTTTTCTTTCTTCTTCCTTTTCCTCTTTTCTTCCTTCTTATTATTTTTCTCATTTTTCTTTTTCTTCTTCTCCCACATCGTCTGATATAGGTTGGAAAGCCAGTTGCTTCATTCCTTTTCATATTATTACCCTTGTTATTTTTCCCTTTTCTTCTTCTTTTTCTTATTCTTTTTCCTCATCTTATTCTTATTCTTCTTTCTTTATCTTCTTCATCTTCTTCATTCTTTCTTCTTCTTAGTTCTTCTTCTTCTTCTCTTCCCCCTCTTCCTCCTCTTCTTCTTCTTTCTCTTTCTCTTCCTCCTCTTCTTCTTCCTACTCTTCCTACTACTCCTCCTCCTTCCTCCTCCTCCTCCTCCTCCTCCTCCCTCCTCCTCCTCTTCCTCCACTTCTTTAACTAAACATGCAAATCATTTCTTTCATCGCTTCATGCGGGTTGGGAAACCAATTGCATCATTTTTCTTCTTCCTCTTCTTCTCCTTCCTCTTCTACTTCTTTCTTCGTCTTCTTCTTCCTCTTCTTCTTTTTCCTCCCCCTATTCGTCTTCTTCCTTTTCTTCTTATTCTTATTCTTCTTTTCCTGCTTCCTCCCCTCTTCTTCTTCCTCCTCCTCCTCCTCCCCCTCTTCGTCGTCTTCTTCTTCTTCCTCTTCCTCCTCCTCCCCTCCTCCTCCTTTTCTTCTTCTTCTTCTTCTTCCCGCTCTTATCCTTCTTCTTATCCTTCTTCTTCTTCTTCTTCTTCTTCTTCCCGCTCTTATCCTTCTTCTTCTTCTTTTCCTTCTTCCTCTTCTTCCTCTTCTTCTTCTCCTTCTTCTCCTTCAAATCATTTCCTTCATCGTTCCATGGCCAATAAGCGAGAACGATTCAAATGACAATGAATTGTTTTTTTTTTTTTTACTTTAAACCTTTTTTCTCTCCTTCGTTGGATGTCGCAAGAGAATGAGGAAGTGGAGAAAGTGGGGGATAGGTTCAGGGATGGGTGATTGGGATAGAGGAAGAGGTTTGGAAATGCTGATAATTAGGGGGTAAGAGGGAAAGGAAGAGAGAGAAAGAGAACGAGAGAGGGTATAGAGATAGGGAGAGAGAGAAGAGCGAGAGGGGAGGGAGGGAGGTAGAGGAGAGAGAGAGAGGAGGAGGGCGGAGGAGGAGGAGAGAAAGAAAGAGGAGGAGGAAGAGAAGGAGGAGAAGAGAAGAGAGAGAGAGAGAAAAGAGACAGAGCAAGACAGATACAGGCAAAGAAAGAGACAGAACCAGAAACAGAAACAGAGAAAGAGACAGAAGAAAAGAAAGAGAAGGAGAGACAGAAGAAGAGAAAGAGAGAGAGAGAGAGAGAGAAGAAGAGAAAGAGAGAGAGAGAGAGAGGCAGAAGAAAAGAAAGAGAGAGAGAGAGAGAGACACTCGAAGCTGCAAGAACAATCATCTGCCGCTTCGTACAATGCAAAGTCCTGATTGTTTTTCATTGCAAAGGGAGTGTATAGTTTAGTTAGCTTGCTGTTCCGTGATTGGCTGTTCAATACTAAAAGATTGTGTTCAACTGATTGGGATATTTGGCTGTTTGACTGCTTTGGTGGAGGCGATATGTGTTGATAAGAATAGAGTAATTAAATTGATGATTGATGTAGTGATAATAATGATGATGATAATGAAAATGATAGTAATAATGATGATAATGGTAATT